GCATTTTAGAAAAGAAATAAATACAAAGTATCAGTTGAAATTTCTAGCTAGTTCTTCCCTCATACTCTATACCGTCATTTTTGAGAAAGCTGCAAAAAACATTTTCAATAATTTACCTGTTGCCTGTTGTCAAGGTTTGCCCCTGAGCTGACTGAGGCTGATCAGAATGCTTGTAGGTCTCTCCACCAGTTAATTTTAAACTTCATTTAGTTATTTTCACTTCCTTTAAGTCCTACGATACCAACATATCACTGATCCTTGATCTCAGTGCTCTCCTCTGGTGTCTTAGGGTTGTCGATCCTTCCATCCTCCTAGTGATGCCTAATTTCAACTCAGTGCTTTTTCACAGGTTCCAGTCCATCACCATTGGCTCCAATCACACTACCTCTGCCCATCTTTTCTATCTTTTAACAAAACCAGCCCCAATTACATTTATATGGAGCATATTGGGCCTGAAATCTAGTCTCATTTGAAAAAAAAGGGTTACTATTATTGTATGTACTTTGCCACCAATATGAAAGGTTTTACTTCTTTTCCTCTTTTTTAATTTATTTATTATTTTTATTTTATGTGTGTGAGTGTAATGCCTGCATGTAGGTGGGTGCACCTGTGTCATGCAATGCCTATGGAGGTCAGAAGAGGGCATTGGATCCCCTAGAACTGAAGTTTTGGATAGTTACTAGCCACCATGTGGGTGCTGGGAACTGAACCCAGGTCCTTTGCAAGAGCAGCTAGTGCTCCCCAACCCCTGAGTCACCTCTCCAGTCCCACTTCTTCCCTCTTTTAAAGCCTCTAAGAAATCTTTTTATTCAAAGTAGTAACTCTTGGAATTAAACTAGGGTCACTATTCAGTAAATTTTGAGAGTAATATTGTACTTCCTTAATTTTAAGGCTGAAGTCACATCTTTCTGATGCATCTTTCAGACAAGTGGTCCCTGAAACAGTGTTATAGCCATTGTCACGTCATTCCTATAACGGATGCTTAACTTCTAATTACAAACCAGCACACACGTGTGTTAGCCCCGGAAGCTCATTTTATTGCAAAGTATCAGACTTGGAGGCTTCTGTGTGGCTCTGCTCTAGTCACTCAATGCCCACTTGATAACTAGTAGGTCTCAAGAGCTCACTAGGCCTCTGTTTTGTCTTAGAGTTCAGGTTATCTACTTCAGATACCAAGCCACCCTAAGCCTACTGGCTTAAATCAGCAATGTATTTCACTTACAAGTTTGTGAGGTAGGAGTCTCAGCCCAGGGATTTATTTCTACCCCACATGTCATTGGGAGAAATGCTCCAGCTGGAGAACCCACTTCCAAGGTAGTTTCTTTATGAATACATCTGTGTCATCCTGCTCCTTGGCCTCTGTCTGCACAGCATCTAATCCTCTGAGGTCCTTCTTTGTATCTAGGGTTTCTCTCAGTATGGTTTCTTGAAAGTAGACATGTGTGTTTTATATGGCAGCTGGCTTCCAAGATGCAAGTGGTGCCAGGCCAGGAGCCATCTTCCCTAGAATTAGCACAATGTCACCTCTACTGTGTTTTCCTGTTCAAAGTGGTGACTGGGCTTACCCGGAGTCGACACTGAAGAGACAGACACCACCTCTTACAAAGGCAGGGCTGTACTGTACATGAGAACATGGGCTATGCCACTCAATCTTCAATGTCTCTCTGAGGAAAACAATGAATATGTAGGAATACAGTCAGTGGAGAATTGTGAATTTCATTAATACATACTGTGTGGTGCATAGTCTACATTTGTACTCATTTATAAATTCCACATCCCAGTTGATTCTCTTGGAATGCTTTTATTGGATTTTGCCAGACTCTTGGCTAGATAGCCAACCCACTATCACCAATAAGCCTTTTGTCTTATTTATTTATTCATTCATTCATTCATTTTGATCTTTTTGAAACAAGGTTTCCCTGTAGCTCCAGCTGGCCTGGAACTCACTATGTAGACCAGGCTGGCCTTGAATTCACACAGAGAGATCCACCTATCTCTGCCTCTCAGGTCCTGGGATTAAAGGTATGCACCACCATACCTGACTTCTTTTGTCTTACTTGTATTTGAGTCTCCTTCAGCAATATTTTCTTGCATTCCAGCACTCTCCATAAATAAAAATGAAAATAATAGTCACAGTCATAAACTAAAATAATATATTTTTAGAAAACTTCATAATAATGATATTTTAATGGTAAACTTACATATGCAAAACATTTCAAATCTACTTTTGATTACTATTCATAATATTGTCAGGAATTTTCATCCCTCTTTTCTAGGTGGGTATATTAGTCAGCATTTTGACATGGTAACTAAACACCTGAAGCAGTTAACTTATACATTTATTTTGGTTCATAGTTCTGGATATTTGAGTCTAAGATTAAGTGACCCAAGGCTGTGAGTCTCTGGTGAGAATATCATATGATTGTTGTGGGCAGTGCGTGGTGGATCAACCTCCTTACATCATGCATCAAAAAGCAAAGAGAGGGGCTGGAGAGATGGCTCCATGGTTAAGAGCACTGGCTGCTTTTGCAGAGGACCTGGTTTAGTTCCCAGCACCCACAAGGCAGCTAACAACCATTTGTAACTCCAGTTACAGACCGACCCCCTCTTCTGGCCTCTGCAGGAAATGCATGACACAGGTGCACTGATATACATGCAGGCATAGCACTCATACATACACATAAAATAAAAATAAATAAATTTTTTTTCTAAAAAAGCAAAGTAGAGGTCCGGGTGTGGTGGCGTACGCCTTTAATCCCAGCACTTGTGAGGCAGAGGCAGGTGGACCTTTGTGAGTTCGAGGCCAGCTTGGTCTACACAGTGAGTTCCAGGACAGCTGGGGCTACAAGGAGACCCTGTCTCAAAAAGGGAAAAAAAAAAGCAAAGAGAGAACAGGCCATGGTCCCATATCTCCTTCAGGGACATGCCCCTGAAGACGTACAGACATCCCCATAAGACCCCACCTTTTAAGTGTTCATTGAACCTCTAATAATATCACCCTGGAGAACAAGCCTTAACACATGAGCCTTTGAGTAACACTCATCCAAGCCATTGCAATGGGAAAACTGAAGCTTCAGAAGAAGGCGACTCACATGCTGTGGAGACTAGCTAGCATACCTGTCCTCTGACTCCAGCCAAAGTGCTTTTTACATCCTATGTGACACCTTACATTTAGAAAAGAACTTTTTCAAAATTACCGTAGAGCTAGGATTCCCTGCCACAATTCAAACTGAAACACTTCCTTTCAAGGAAGAACTAGCTTCAGACTCCAGGTTCCAGTTTTTACAATGACCAGAGCTAAGTCTCCTCACTGTTGGTCTGACTGCAGAGACAGGCTTTATAACCATGTCATGGGGACTCAGGCCCACAAACACTTCTCTGCCGGCTTTAGCCCTTCCAAAAGTCAGTATTAAAATTAGGACCACAGTTCACAGTCCCAGATTCCCCCAGAGAACTTGCATAGCTAAAGAAAAGAGAGTCTGTGACAACAGGATTTAATTCTAGCATCGAAAGGTACCAGGAAGGGAAGCCAGTGAGTTGCAGAGTGATGCGTAATGATGGGAGACAGTCACAGAGAGGTCTTGGGGCTTTCTTCTGTCTTTTCCCTTTTCCAAAGTTCTTCGACCTCCAACCACAAAGTAGGTTTTCCTATCTCTCTGGGAAGTCACTTCCTGTGGTTTATAGTGTCATTCTGCATTTAGCTGAAGAGTCAGTTCATTTTGCGTAGAAGTTATAAGGGTAGTTTGTTCCTACCTTCCTTTTTATATGAGTGAAACATTCTTTCCATAAAAAACATTTAAAATATTCTGTGTTTTGGCTGAGGAGTCCCTTCTACATAAAGTTATAAAGGTTTTTTATTAGTACTTTATATGTGAGTGAAACATCCTTTGTAGAAAAACTAGGAAATAAAAATAAGACACAAATTGAAAATAACCCGTGAATAATCCTGCCACTGTGTGTTAACAGACAACCAAAGTTAGCATTTGGAGGAGTGTCTCAGTTTTCCAGTCTGAATGCATAAGCATCTCTTTATACATGGCATGGATTATGTGTTCTTTAAATAAGACCTCCTATTTGATGTTTTTCTGAGTAGCTTTAAGTGCTGTGCCGAAATTTTCAGTCCTGTTTGACTAAACTTTCAAAAATTGAAGAATAAATAGCAACTGTCTTTGCAGTAGCTGTGTGGCAGCAAGTCAAAGCTATGTTGTTGTGGGCAATCTTAAATGCAAAACTTTCCTAGGAACATGATATTCTTTTAAAAATCCTATGTCATCGACCTTCCATGGCCATCAAGGGGTAGGGGACATTGTGTGTGACACCCAGACTAGACCCATGAAGGAATCAAGACCCTATTGCTGGCCTTCTCCTCAAGGGAGTGCCCTGGCTTCAGTTTACCTTTGCCTTAATATCCCTCCTCTGAAATGTTTGTGACCAAAGATGTTTCTTATTTAGGAGTTGTTTTTTTGTTTTTTTGTTTTTTTTCAGAATTTGGGATATTTACATAGGAACATCGTGAGATGAGCTGAGGGTTGAAGACCATGTCTGCACACAAAATTCATTTATGGGACTAGGAGTTCAGCCGAGTGATACAGAGCACTTGCCTAGTGTGCAGAAAGCCTGGGTTCAATCTCCAACACTGCATGAAAAGAATTTATTCATATTTCATATACCTCATACACGCATAGCCTAAAGGTCATCTCATACAACATTTTACTGTGCCTCCAATTTGCAACAGTCACATGAGGTCAGATATGGAATTTTCCACTTGTGGCTTCATGTTGGTGCTTAGAAAGTTTCAGGTTTTGAAGATTTTCTAATTTCAGGTTTTCATATCAGGGCACTCAGCCTGTAACATGTTTCACTTATATCTTTACCTGGGATAGACTAGTAATCCTTCTCTTTCCCAAAAATATTTCTGAAAATAATATGTTTCATGAGTGCTGTGTGAATGGGGAAATATATCACCTAAACAATATTCTACTTGATGTTTTCCTGTTTAGGCAGCAATAAGAAAGGAGCTAAATGAATTTAAAAGTACAGAAATGGAAGTTCATGAAGAGAGTCGACAGTTTACAAGGTAGGTGGACAAAATCCAGTTCTACATATTGAAAATGCTCAGCATGGTAAATTTCACATTGAGTTTATTTTATCATAACTTAATTTTTAATGTGGCTCATCAGAAAAACCATCTAATGAACATGTCTGCTTCTCTCTCATTTAACTCAGTTATCCTTCTTGGCCTTTACTAGTAAGCCAAGAGTCCTCATGGCAGACTTAAAGATATGACTAGATCCAATTATAAATTTCTGGAATTTCATAACAAACTCAGTGGTTTTTTTAAGGGCACCCAGAATAATCTTTCTGAATAAAAGCTTCTAAGATCAGGTCTTTTCTTTCTCTCTGTCAATGAAGTCTGAATCATTCTGAAAGGCTACATGATGCTTCTCTTTTCTGTTTTGGTTTGAGATCAGAAAGCAAGTATCCTCATCATTCTGTGCCCAGAGTAGATGCTGCTGACAGTCAGTGTGGGAACCTACAGTAGACACAACTTAAGATAGGAACTGAGTGTTCAAAAGATAACAGCTTAGAATGAGGATCATGTGTTTATTGGTACCTCAAATCACTATTGTGTTAGTCAAACTTTATGTAGGTATAATACCCGAGACATTGACTTGTAAACCCCCAGTGACTGCAAGATCTCCCCTTAGGCTTGCCTCTAAAGTTTGCACCAGTCCTGGTGGGGCCAAGCTGAGGACTACGATTTTAGCACACGGGCACTTAAGATCCAAATACCAACAACTATAATCCTGCGGTTTTTCCTGCCAGTTGCCCTTGGTTTTACAGACTACAGAAAACTGGAGGGACCCGAGTACATGTGTTGTCTGGTTTCCACGTGTGAGGGCTGTTCTGTTTGTTTCAATCTCTTAAGTATATGTCCTTATGAGGCTGTTCCTAAAAATTTGCACAAAAATTTAATCTTTGAAAACTGAATTGAGGGGTCTAGGGATATGGCTCAGTGGCTAAGAGCACTTGCTATGCAGGTGTGGGGACCTGAGTTTGGATCTCCAGAGCCCACATAAAAAGCTAGGTATGGCCGCATGCACCTTAGCCCCAGGAGCAGAGAGAGAAGATAGCTGAGTCTTGCAGGCTTCCAGTCTAGCAGTGAGTGTAGGTGGAGGGACAGACTTGAGTTCTAGGCTCAGAGAGAGACCCTGTCTCAAGGGAATAGACAAAGAGCAATGGAGGGAGGACTCCTGGTATCCTTCTCACCCTCTGTACACACCTGTGCACACATATACAACACACACACACACACACACACACACACACACTTTTATTAACAGAAAAAGAAAATAACAGGACAAAAGACTGTGAAGAAGGCTAAATTCTATCTTCTCAGAAAACAAATACTGATGCACTGCCCTAAGCTAGAGATAGCCTCTGTAGGGCAGCCATGTGCTGTGCTTCTGGCCCTGATGGTGGCGATGCTGTTCTGTTTAGGGAAACATATCATAGGGTAAAGGAAGCAGGTTCAGCTTCACTATTTAATAGCAACTTCTGTGAAGTGTAGAGGGGCCTCTATCCCAGACTTGCTCCACAGCTGTTCTTCGTGTAGGAAGGTCTGCTGTGCAGAAGAAACCTTTCTCTTAGGCTGTGTCATTTGTTTCCCTTGCGTCCTCCTTTGTATTTGCAAATAGGGAAAATCCTGAATAGGTACACTTTTCTCTCTTTGGGGGCTTTATCCCATCACAGTCTACTCTTGAACGCATAACCTGCCCTTATATCAAGCCAGACTTGTATCTTCCTGCCACAGCTGGGGTCAGGAAAAGTTCATGCTAAAACGTGACACTTGAAGCTGTACTTCTCCAAGAAAATTGATCATAAAAAGGAGGCAGGATATTTACAGTGATGTGGAACTGGCTGGAGCTGCAGCAGTGGAGAAAATGGCATGTGCTTGTGTAGCTGAGGCTGGACCTCTGAGCTGTGGTGTCTTCATACATTCCACCATGCCACTTGGGACAGTTTGCTTCTGCCTGACTGCCCTAGGAAGTGTAGTATCTGGTAACCTTATGTTCATTTGAGAGCAGGAGGTGAGAATAAATGACAGCAGAGAACACACAAATGAAAAAACATCCATTGTCATGGAAGTTCCAATTCTATGAGAAATATTTATATGAAACAGTTCTTCCTGTTCTGATGCGCTCTATAAGCAAGTCACCAAATTTAGGCTATAAGGAAATGTCAGGGTCACTTCTTTTTTATTTATTCCTTTTATGTACAAAATGATAAATTTTAATTAAGCATTCAATACTAATGTTTATCAAATTAAAACATTAAATTCCTCCTTTACTTCCCAACCTCTTCTATATTCCTGCAGGTAAGCACTGGTAAAATTTTGAGGTAGGTCCTCCTAGACATTTTTTCTATGCATTTACAAACTCATATGTGTATAATATATGTGGGCATACAGAGTATTTATATAACTCTTTCACCCACACACAGGATCTAGAAAAATCAATCCTTATTAGTATATAGCTCACTTAGTGACTCTGTGGTATCTCATAGATAATGTACTATATATACGTTATTGAACACACACACCATTGCTGGATGTTTGTTTATGAGTGTTTTCATTTTTCACTGTCAACACTGAGACCTTGACTTTATGCTTATGTCTGTGTACACATGCCAGTATTTCTGTGGTTGTCCCATTAAGTGGATATCCTAGGTCACTGTATTTATGTGTTTTACATTTTTAAAAAGATATTACTATGTTATCTTTCAAAAAGGACACTTAGTTTACTGACCCATGGTTTATGAGCACACAGTCTTCTCAGTCACCCTCATCAGCAGTTGGGGCAAAAGAATAGTTACAGGATTGATATTCTACAGGCTAAATAGTAATACCCTATTTCACTGATTTCCATAAGGTTGGGTAGCTTTACTTATCTTTATTGACCTATTTTATTGTTTGTCTTGCCTGTTCAAAACCTTTTTAAATTTTCTTTTGGATTTTCTGTTTTTTTTATAAAGATTAGTAAAATGTGATTTATTGGTCCACAGTGGTTTTCTCCAATCTGTTGCTAGCCTTTTAGCTTTTCTAATGATCTTTTGTTTAAATATTTGCACTTCCAAACATGCCTGTGTTGTTACTTTTTCTTCCGTTGTTCTCTGCTTTATGGGAGGTAGCCAAGACTATAAACTATTGTCTTCACATTTTTAAAAACTATTTATTTAATAACCACATACTTAGAAGAAGCATTTTATTACAACAGCATTGACATATTCAATAACAATTTCCAGAGCTAAGATGCATCTCTTTCAAAATTGGCTGTAAATTTTTAGGTTTACAGTTGAATTATTACAGTTATACAATATTGTACTCAGTATAAACCCTATAAGACATAACATTAAATGAGGTTTTAACCTTTAAAAAATATCTCCATTATTAAAATACAGAGTTAGGTTTCATACAGAAAAATTCTTTTTCAATGCAATTGACATTGGATGTTTGCACATGCATTTCTAATCTCTAAATATCTGATTATTACTAGTCACAGTTGGTTACTTTCTGAGCTTCTAGGCATCTGAGCATGGATATAAAGTCATCAGGTAGATTTCAATGGTAATGTTTTTCACATCTACTAATTATTGTTTTTTAATCATTATTTTTTTTAATAACTACATGATTTGAAGAAGCATTTCATTACAGCTTTAACATATTTAGTAACACACTCCAGAGCAAGAGTACATCTATTTCACAAGTGGGTGCAAGTTTCTAGGTTCACAGTATGAGCCCTGTAAGACATAAAATTGGATGAGTTTTTACCCTTTAAAGAAGATCTCCATTTAAAGATATGCTGTTTCCTACATTTAAAAAATATTATTTAGAGATCCGCCTGCCTCTGCCTCCCAAGTGCTGGGATTAAAGGCGTGTGCCTATTTTTTAATCATTATTTTTTTTAAATAACTACATAATTAGAAGAAGCATTTCACTTAACATATTCCATATTCAGTAACACACTCCAGAGCAACAGTACGAACTCAGTATAAGCCCTGTAAGACATAAAATTGAATGAGTTTTTAACCTCGTTTTAAGACTTAGAACTTTTATTCATTGAGCATTTATTCATGTGAATGATTCAAGAGCATTCACACGCTTTACTTTTGTTTAAGTTAATAGTTGACATCTCAGTATACCTTATTATCCTTCTAGATGTGAAATTCTTTTCTAATATATTCATGGGTCAGTTTCTATTATTATTTGTTATGTTCCAATGAGCTTTGACTCCTGCCTGTATCACACTTTTCAACCAGAGAAGACTTGTAAACTGTTTTGCTATTTGTTGGGATTTTTTTTTCATCTCCAAAATTCTGTTGGTTATTCCTCTACATTTTAGTCCTCTGTGAAGAATTGTAGACTGTGCTTTTTTGTGTTTCCTGAAATAATATGATATTTTCATTGTTTAAGTAAATGCTAATAGAGGCAACTAGGTAAGTTTCAAGGTGATAACTGCTGATATCACAGGGTAAACTTGAAAAGACTTTAAAAATATATATTGATTAACACTCTTTTAAACTATCATTCCTGATAAGGAAAAATTAAATACTCATTCATATCACCAAAATAAATATGCCTTAGTTAAGTAGTATTTAAGACTTGGCCACAAATCAAATGTCTAATGCTATTTTTCCATTAATTTATATGACATCATTAGAGTTGCATTCCAGCAGGGAAGTATTTTTGGCTTTGGAGGTATAAAAATCATGCTGTGATTTTCAAGTTGGTGTCAGTATTTCTCTTAAGAAGAAAAAGTTTTGGTAAACACTACTGTTTCTAGTCAAAATAATACAAAAATATGACTATGCATTTCACTTAGAAAATTACTCATGTGAAAGATGCTGGTGCTCTTAGCAACAGCCCCCTCACAGGGCATGAATACACTGTGAATTATTACCTAGTCCATTAAATGCAGCCTAGATACATGGTAGCAACCCTTTCTTCTGATTAGTGCCAGAATTATCTCCTACATCAATAAGCCTTCCCTTCAGAACCGAACTCTCTGAGGCCCCTGC